TGGTGGTTTGAACCTACCCAGAAGTAGTGCTGAGGAAAGTCCTAGCCGTCTGCTCCTGAAAGGTCACAGTCTTGAAAACCTCGGGAGCAGTTCTACTCTGCACACATGGGGTTGCCAAGAATCTGAATCCACGTGATGGTAACTGACAAAGAACTGCTAACAACCTCAGATTTGCAAAATGTTTCTCCCTAGTTGTTTGTTATTGGGTCATGGACTACATTTGCTTCAATCTCCCCAAGGTCAAATGGGAAACAAGTTTTTAACCAAGAAAGCCTCATCATAACTTTCTCTCTCTTTTTTTTTTTTTTTCCATATTTTTCTTGGCCTGTGCTACATTCTCCCAATCTATTTACTGTGTGCTTCAACCATACACGCTAGTCACGTGTAGAAAACAAACAAACTATACTTCCTAGTGGCACAACGGTTAAATGCTCATCTGCTAACCTAAAGGTTGAAGGTACGAACCCACCAGTTGCTTTGTGACAGAGAGATATGGCAGTAGCCTTGCAGAGGCTATGGGGCAGTTCTACTCTGTCCTATAAAGTGCCTATCAGCTAGAACTGACTCAATACAGTGGGTACGGTATTGTTTACAATTGAGGTAGTTAATTGATAAGTGAAATGTGAAGTTTGTTTTGGGGAGTAAATTTAGAGCAACAAACCTCACTCCATATGTGCCACACCAGACTTCATACCAGGATAAAGCACTGGACTGCAAGTCTGGTTTGAACCACAAATCAGTTTAAAGCAGTCAGTTCAGACTTCTTTATACCAGTTATACAAGTCTAAACCAGTTGTTGTTAAGTGCCATTGAGTTGATTTTGACTCATATCAACTCTATATAGGGTTTCTGAGAAACAGCTGGTGAGCTTGAACTGCTGACCTTGTGGTTCAAACCGACCTTGCAGTCCAGTGCATTAACCCTCTGCGCCATATCAAGCCACCACTTTATGTGTTACTTGAACAAGATAGAAGGAATCTGATCAATTTAGAGCAAATGTGATCCAGTTAGATTGGATTCAATTGATCAGCGCTAGCTTGCTTCAGTAAAATGTACCCTGAGCCAGTCAAAATTCACACAAGCCATTCAGAGCCCGCTTGTCCAAGTCAGAACTTATTTGAGCTCATTAAAAACAGCCGGAGGCAATTTGAACTATTAAATTAAGACTCAGATAATTTTGGTCACGCACTACTGGTTTTAGATCAGTCAGACACTGTTTTATTGGTAGAGCCTTGTTCCCCTGATTAAACCCACTCTAAATTAGTATGGTCCAGTCAGATTTTTTTGAACAAGTATGTGCTGGTTAGAATAGATTAGAGTGTTCACTACAGATTCTAACCTGTTTCTAGGCTGGGCAGGACTCTCTTGAACTAGTCATATCTGTTTAAAATGGATTGGAAATAGTTTGAAGCTGACAAAAATCAGAATTCATTACATGTCATCTTTGTTGACTCAACAGACTACTCGAAGCCACACAGAAATCTTCTGTACTAGAAAGATATGTTTTGAGCGGACCAGAGTTAATTTCAGAAATTGTTCAAGTTCTTCAGAACCAGTCTGATCTGTCCAGAACTGGGAGGATGAAGTGAGGTAACATTTACTGAGTGTCTTCATATGTGCCAAGCATTGTGCTGGGCCTTTACAAATGGTAGTATTTCATTCAATCCTCACAACAATGGCGTGAGATAGTGTGTACCATTTTCTTTTTATAGGATTGTTGTTGTTGTTAAGTGCCATCGATTTGGTTCAGACTCATAGTGACCCTCTGTAAGGTTTCCGAGGAGCAGCTGGTGGGTTTGAAATGCCAGTCTTGTAATTCACAGTCCAGTGCTGATCCTACAGTGCCACAACGTAGCATGGAAGCTTGGAAATCCTAGGCTCAGAGATAATCTAAGTAGCTGGTCTGTGGGAGGCTTGGGATTCAACCCTCAACTCTGTCTTGATTTTACAGGTCATGTGCTTTTTACTTGACTATCTTGTGTCACCATATCGTGTTTCTGGTCACTTATAAGTCTGTATGCATTTGTATAAAATGGTGTAGCAGACACAAAGCATGGGGTAGATCAAAGGACATTGGACTTGTAGTTAGGAAACATAGCTCTAGACTGTGCAAATCTGCTAACCTCTCTGGGCTCTGTTTACTTCCTTTAGAAAATTGAACCGAGAGGGTGAAAGATTGAAGCATTTATTTTAAGACCAATAAAGCAGCTAACCCTGGAAGCGCAAACGGTGATTAATATTGATGGTGGCATCTATTTGGTGTGTTGACACTTCTTTCATGAGGATTTGAGTTGGGAACAACTGTAAGGAATTGCTAGCAACAGGAATAGAAAGCAAAATTCACAAATATCATTTGAAAACCCAAGTGTGTGCTTCGTTTCTCATGAAAACTAACCACAACTTGGTACAAACAAGTTGTTTCACTTGGATCTTTGAATTCTACCCAAGTGGGTTTAGTGTGCTCTCGAATACTGGTGCCATTTCCAACATAATTTCCTCCTGTACCTTAAATGATACAAGATCAGGTCTAGAAATGATTCATCCTTTTCAAATGCAAAGTGAAGGAGAAATGAAGGTAGGCACAGTATCTGCTTGTATGTTTTCACGCAAAATTGCTTTCTGCTTGCTCATTCAGTCTGAGGAACTCCCCAACCATCCAGCCCCTTCGCCCAATTATTAACTATTCTCTGAGCCTACTTTTCAAGTCTTTGTTTTTTATTTCTGAATAACTTGGACTAAGTGATAGGCTGTGATAGGATATACTAGGATTTTTGTTTATACATAAGTGGTCATCTTCTGTAGAGGAATTCCATTATACCCCATCAGTACTGGCCACATATCCTGCGAATATAGAAACTATATACCATGGGAAAACCATCGTCTTTATAGTATGTAAATAGAATTATGAATGTTTGTAGAGGCTCTGCCCTTCCAGACTGCCAGCCATATCGGAAATGTGAGTTGTAGATCTGCCGGGAGGCTTTCTCTTCAGAAAGTAGATTGCAGCAACTCTTAGAGCTCAACATTCAGAATTTGGGGGCATACGGTGAGTCACCAAGTTGATGGGGTTGGGGAGACAACCTTGAAAGCCCTTGCCTGAGCTTTATTGCCTTTTAGAAATCTATAAAATGAATCCTATAGGATGAATTGAGCATTACAGCAAGGTTTCTGGATATGGGGCTGGGTGAAATGAACACAATAGGAGAAAAGTAGAGCACTTAGCATGGCTGGCTGGATGGGTATGTATGTTAGAGCACATAGGTAGCAGTGTTAGTGAGAATGGAATAGCTGGTTATTTTCCTGGTATTCAGGGGGGTGAAAACATCTTCCTTGGACACAGACTACATTTCCCGCTGGATGAATATTTTAGGTTTGAATCTATTTAAAGGATAAAAACAAATCATGAAAAGTACTGATTACAAAGGACCAAATAAATAATCATGGTTAGGTATTGCTGGGAAAAACAAGTTTTTCTTCTTTCTCCAAAGTGGACTTTTGTTTTATTCAGTATTAAAGAAATGAGCTATCAGCTTTCTTGTGAGAATTCCAAGGCCAGTGTATGTGAATGAGCCCTTACTCCAGATGAACAGTTTCTGCACATTGACCGGTCAGATCTGGGATGCAGTTAGTTCCCAAATGAGCAGTGGTATGCTAGGAAAGTCTGACTTAATAAATAACATATGCATACATTAATATGTAAGGGAACTGTAGGTCAGACTTTATTTGTGAATTTAGCATTGTCTGTGAAGGAGTTATAAAAACCTGTGAGCGTAAATAGGATCAATAGAATTGCCTAGATGTTCAAGTAGAAAGAAAACAGAGTCAGGAATCCAGCATTAGGAGATTTTGTAGGAGAAGGAATTGGAGCTACTTGTATTTAAAGAATGATGGTTATTTTCATCATAACATTTGCCTTCCTCTTTTTACTAGCTTTTGTTCTGTGTTGTCTGCAAGTAAGACTTAGTGACAGCTGTCTTCTTGTTGATTATTATTCTCATTTAGAAGTTATGTTTTAAACTTTTTGTTGTGAATTGAGTGAAGGCATACACTTTGTTTCAACTCAATGATTACAACCCCCTCCCTGCAACAACAGTCATCCCACTTCCTCCCAGTGGTTCCTATTTCTATTCCACCCTCCTCCTTCCCAGCCCTTCTGAACCTTGTCCTTAGGCAAATGGTGCCCTTTGGATCTTGAATCATTGACAATCCCATGTTCAGCATACCTTAGTAATGTGGCTACCCCACAATATACCTATCTACTGATTGGCTGAAATTTGAGCCCCAAGAGTTGAGTTCTGTTCCAGACCTGAAAGGTGGTCGAGGGCCATAGTCTTGGGTTCCTCCAGTCTTTTCCTAACAAGAAAGCCAATTTTTTTTTTTCTTTAAATAACTTTGAGCTCTGGTAGCATAGTGGTTATGAGTTGGGCTACCAGCCTCAAGGTCAGCAGTTCGAAACTACCAGCTGTACTGCAGGCGAAAATTGAGGCGTTCTGCTCCCGTAAAGATTTACAGCTTTGGAAACCCTGTGCAGGGTCACTATGAGTCAGAACCGACTCCACGATACTTAACAACAACATTCCATATTGTCTCCCACTCAATCTGAGACCTTCTAATGTGATTCCTTTCAGAGCTGTTGGTAGTGGTAGCCAGGCATCATCTAGTTCTTATGGTCTCAGAGTCGTGGTAACTGATATTGACTTGCTCCATTGGTTTCATTTGCAAATTTTGTCTTAACAATATTATAGTGCTAAATTAAAAATAAAACATTATTATTTCAGTCTATCTCACCTAGCAGACTGTTAGGTTTGCTGGGGGCAATGAAAGAAAACTAATCCTGTCTTCATAAAACCACTAGGTATACAAATGTTACATAGAAATAGCTGTTTCATTGAATATTGAAGTGCCAGGTTTTTCACTGGAGAACACTCATATTTTCTAATGAATTTTAAATAAATATGTATTGGTTTGTATTTTGTAGGTGAACCACTGAGTTCTTCATTATGTCTGATGGAGATTATGATTATCTCATCAAGTTTTTAGCTTTGGGAGACTCTGGAGTTGGGAAAACCAGTGTTCTTTACCAGTACACAGATGGTAAATTTAACTCCAAGTTCATCACAACAGTGGGCATTGACTTCAGGGAAAAAAGAGTGGTAAGTTCCATATCCTTCTTTAAAAAATGTAATATCAAAAAAAAAAAAAAGTAATATCTGAGTCAACATTTGCCTTTTTAGTTTACTTAGTAGGAATTGGGAGGACAAAGGTTAGAATCTATAATCAAATGGTACATGTTAAAGTATATTATGTTCAATCTGAGTCATATGATTAAAAAGTTTACTTTAAAGAATATCTTCAGAAACCATACATCCAATAAGAATCTAATAACACACACATATATAACAATTTAACAACAAGAGGACATAGAACCCAATCATAAAATGGGCAAAGGATTTGAATAGACATTTCACCAAAGAAGACATTCAAATGACCACCAAATACATGAAAAGATGTTCAGCATCATTATCCATCAGAGAGATGCAAATCAAAAACCCCACCGAGAGATAGCATTTCACTCCCACTAAGATGGGTGAGCTCTGGTAGCATAGTGGTTACGAATCGGGCTGCGAACCTTAAGGTCAGCGGTTCGAAACTACCAGCCGCTCCGCGGGAGAAAGATGAGGCTTTCTACTCCCGTAAAGATTTACACCCTCGGAAACCCTGTACAGGGTCGCTATGGGTCGGACCCGACTCGATGGCACTTAACAACAACAACAACAAGATGGGTGAAGTGTCCTGGTGTAGCACTGGGGGTTAATGTGCTGGACTGCAATGCTAGTTTGGACTGCAAGGTCAGTGTTTCAAGCTCAACAGCCACTCCTTGGAAACCGTATTCAGGGTCACTATGGTTGGAACCGACTTAACAGCACTTAACAACAACATCAAGAGGATGGGAAAGAAAATACAAAAAACAACAACAGAAAATAGCAAATGCTAGCTAGGATGTGGAGATAGTACCCTTATCCAGTGCTAGTGGGAATGCAAAATGGTACAGTCATTGTGGAAAAAAAAAAAAAGCAATTCCTCCAAAAACTAAAATTAGAACTGCCAGTAACCCCACTCCTAGTTCTATATCTTGAAAGCAAAGACTCAAGCTGAGACTTGCATGCCAGTGATCATTATAGCACTATTCACAGTAGCCAAAAGGTGGAAACGACTTAAATGTCCATCTACAACAGATGAAAAGATAAACATGGTTCATATACCCACCGTCGGTGGGGAATTGACCATTCCCAGTGTCCCTGTGGGACCAAATACAACTGCTCCATAGGGTTTTCAGGGCTGTAGATCTTCATGGAATTAGACTGCCTCATCTTTCTCCAGTGGAGCAGCTGGTAGGTTCAAACCACTGACCTTTCAATTAGCAGCCCAACGCTTTAATCCACTGTGCTATCAGGGCTCCTTTTGTCATACATATATACAATGAAATACTACTCAGTTGGTAGGATAAATGAAGTCTTGATACATGCTACGGTATGGATGGAGTTTGAACACATTATACTGAGTGATTAAAGCCATTCACAAAAGTACAGATATTGTATGACCTCACTTATATAAAAAGACAAGAAAAGACAAATGTATGGAGAACAAAGTTTATTAGGGGCTACCAGGGATGTGAGGGAGGGGGAGAAAAGAGGTTTATGATGATGGAAAAATCTCATTGAGTCTAAGTTGAAATACAAATTGGAATCTTGGGAATAAACTGATGCAACACTGGAGGTACTTACACAGCTATGCCAAGAAATTTGGAAGACAGCTATCTAATCAACCAATTAGAAGAGATCCATATTTGTATATATTTCAAAGAAAAGTGACCCACAATAATGCAGAAATCATCAAACAATATCATTAATATCGGATTGAAGTAAAATTTTGCTGAAGATCCATCCAAAATGGTCGCAGCAGCACATTGACAGAGAACTGCAAGAAATTCAAGCTAGAAGTGGCTGTGGAACTAGGGATATCATTGCTGATGTCTGATGAATCTTGGCTGAAGCAGAGAACACCATAAAGATGTTTGCTTTTTTTTTAAATTGACTATTTAAAGACTTCTGACTGTGGAGATCATGATAAACTATGGGTAACATTGAAAAGAATGGGTATTCCAGGATATTTAAATGTGTTCATGAGGAACCTGCACATAGACCAAGAGACAGTTGTTAGAACAGAACAAGGAGATACTGAATGGTTTAAAATTAGGAAAGGTGTGTGCCAGGGTTGTATTCTTTTACCATACTTATTCAATATGTATTCTGAGCAAATAATCCAGGAAGCTGAATTATATGAAGAAGAATGTGGCTTTAGGATTCAAGGAAAACTCATTATCTGCCTGAGATATGCAGATGATACATACTAGCTTGCTGAAAGTGAAGAGGATTTACAGCACTTAACTGATGAAGATTAAAGACTACAACCTTTGGTTTGGATTGTACCTCATTGTTAAGGGAAAAAAATCCTCACAACTGGACCAATAAATAATATCATGATAAATAGAGAAGAGATTGAAGTCGCCAAAGACTTCATTTTGCTCTGGTCAACCATCAACACCCATGGAAGTAGCAGTCAAGAAATCAGATGACGTATTGCATTAGGCAAGTCTGCTGCACAAGACCTCTTTAAAGTGTTCAAGAGCAAACATACCAGTGCGAGGACTAAGGTATGCCTGACCCCAAGCCATGAAATTTTCAATAGGCTCATATGCATGTGAAAGTTGGACAGTGAATAAGGAAGACCATAGAAGAGTCATGCATTTGAATTATGGTGTTGGAGAAGAATACTGAAGGTACCATGGACTGCCAGAAGAACAAATAAATCTGTGTTGGAAGAAGTTCAGTCAGAATGTTCTTTAGAAGTGAGGATGGTGAAATCAATCCCTGGGAAAGGACATTATACTTTGCAAAGTGGAGGGTCAGTGAAAAAAAGGAAGACCTCCAATGAGATGGAATGACACAGTGGCATCAACAATGGGCTCAAACGTAATGATTGTAAGGGTGGCACAGGACCAGGCAGTGTTTTGCTTTGTTGTGCTTAGTTAGGGTCACTATGAATTGGAACCACCTGAACAACACCTAACAACAACAAACTTGAAATAAGACCTGCTGCAAAAGACCTCTTAAAAGTGCTAAAGAACCAAGATGTCAGTTTGAGGATTAAGATGTGCTTGACCCAAGTTCCAGTCACCTCATGCATGTGAAAGTTAGACAGTGAATAAAGAAGACCATTGAATTGATGCATTTGAATTATGGTATTGGAGAAGAATATTGAAAGTACCAGAGAACAAACAAATCTGTCTTGGAAGAGTATAGCCAGAATATCCCTTAGACGTGAAGGATGATGAGATTTTATTTCATGTACTTTGGACATGGTATGAGGAGGAATCAGTCTCTGGAGAAAGACATCGTGCTTGGTAGAGTCACTACGCAGGAGTAGAACTGCTGGGTTAAATGGGATCTTGGTATGGTGTTGTAGGATAAGCACTGAATACTACTAACTGCAAGATTGGTAGGTAACTTCTTGGAGACTCTTATTCTAAATTCTATACAGTTTTGTTATGAGTTGGAACTGACTTGATGGCACTTAACAACCACAACAACATGGCGACTCTGTGTTTAACTTTTGAAGGACTCACAAACTTTTCCAAAGATGTTATACCATTTTTTATTTCTACCCAGAATGCACAGTGAGGGTTCCAATCTCTGCTCACTTTTATCAACATTTGTTATTATCCATCTTTTTTATTATAGCCATTCTAGTGGGTCCTGGTGTGGTGCTGTAGGGTAAGCACTGGATTGCTAACCACAAGGTTAGCTAATCAGCTGCTCCTTAGAAACCCTATACAGAGTTGCTATGAGTAGGAACTGACTCACAGCACTTACCAACAGCTACAACAGCAGTAGGTGTGAAGTGGTATCTCCTTGTAAATTTGATTTGCATATTCCTGACAGTTAGTGTTGATGAGCAAAACTTGTTTCCTTGTGCTTAATTGGCTTCTTGCATATGTATCATCTTCAGAGAAATATCTATTCGGATCTTCTGCCAATTTTTTAGTTGGGATATTGGTCCTTTGTTGTTAAATCGTAAGAATTATTTATATATTGTGGATAAACAATCTTACTAGATATATGATATTCAAATAACTTTAGCTCTCACATTTAGGTCTACGATCCAATTTGAGTTAATTTTTACATATGATGTGAGTACTTTATTTTTTGCCTGTAGAGATCCAATTGTCCCAGCATTATTTGTTGAAAAGATAATTTTTTTCCCCATTGAATGATCTTGGCACTCTTGTTGAAAATCAGTTGACCATTGGTTGTTGTTAGGGGTCTTCAAGTCAGTTCTAAATTGTATTGACCAGCATAGGGCTTCTGAAGCTGTAAATCTTTGCAGGAGCAGAGTGGCTCGAAACACCAACCTTGTGGCTAGCAGTCCAGTGCTTATCTACAGAGACACCACATTCCCCTTACCTCAAATAAAAGAGTTTTTCTGGACTTGCAATTCTACTTTATTCCTTCGTATATCTACCTTATGCCAAAACCATACTGTCTTAATTTCTGTAGTTTTGTAGTACGTTCTGAAATTGAGAAATGCGACTCCTGTAAATATGTACCCTTTTCCAAGACTGTTTTGGTTGTTCTGAATCCCTTGCATTCCATATGACTTTTAGGATCAGTATGTCAATTTTTACAAAGGAGCCAGCTGGACTTCTGATACAGAATCGACTACATTGAGTCAGTAGATCAGTTTGGGGAATACTGCCATTGGAACAATATTAACTCTTACAGTCCATGAACATAGAATGTTTATCCATTTGTTTGGATTGTTTTTAGTTTCTTTCAACAATATTTTGTAGTTTTCAGAGAGTAACTTTATGTTTGTTAATTTTAGCCATAAGTGTTTGAATATTTTGGATGCTATTGTAAGTGGAATTGTTTTCTTCACTTTATTTTCTAGTTTTCATTGCTAGTATACAGAAATGCAGCTTATTTTGTTTGTGGAGCTTGCAGACTGCAAGGTTACTGGACCTGTTTATTAATTATAGTAGTTTAAGTGTGCATTGTGTGGATTATGCAGGGTTTTCTATGTGAAAGATCATGACATCTGTGAATCGAGATAGTTGTATTTCTTTTCCAATTTGTATATCATTTATTTCTCTGTTTTGGGCTAATTTCCCTGGTGAGAATCTCCAGTACAATACCGACTGGAGGTGATGAGTGTGGAATCCTTGTCTTATTCCTGATCTTAATGAGAAAGCATTCAGACTTTCACCATTAAGTGTAACGGTGTGAATTTTTTGTAGACATCAGATTGAGGAAATTCCCCATAGTTCTTGTTTATTGAGTGTTTTTATCATGAAAGGGTGTTAGACTTTTTCATATTTTTTTCTGCATCTTTTGAGGTGACCATTGTGGCTTTCATTGTTTATTCTATGAATATAGTGAATGTATCAGTTAATTTTTGTATGTTAAACCAATTTTGCCATTCTTGCTATAAATTCCACGTGGTCATGGTGTATAATCCATTCTACCTGTTGATGGATTCCATTTGTTGGTGTTTTGGTAAGATTTATTTGGGTCTGTATTCAGAAGGAATTTTGATCTGTAGTTTTTTGTTTAAATTTTTTCTTGTAATATCTTTCTCTGACTTGGAATCAAGGTCATACTTGTCTCATAATGAGTTGGGAAGGATTTCATTCTTTATTTTGGAGGAGTTTGGGAAGAATAGATGTTAATTCCAAGTTTGTGAAGACATCTAGGCATGGGTTCTGGGTATATGTTGTGGCCTGTGTTCAGTGCTCCCATTTATAACTCTGCCTTTGCCTTCATTTCCTGCTTGTACAGATCCTCAAGGTTGGTGAGAGATGAAATCAGGCCCTTCTCTGATCTTTCCTGGGCATGTATACAGCTCTGCACATGTGCATGGTTTTCTAGGTTCCCATGAAGATTTTTGGAAAGTTTCTAAGCGGCCTCTCCATAGACATCTCATTTCCCTCTTTGGTTTTTGCTTCTTGGTGTAAACCCTTCATTAGCCCCAACTGGTATTGCTTCTGAAAGTAACTGTGATGTTAAAGAATGCTGCTGATTATTTTCAACAAATGCCTTTGTTGTTGTTAAGTGTCTTTGAGTTGGTTGCAACTCACAGAAACCCTGATGTACAGGGTTTCCAAGAAGCAGCTGGCAGGTTTGAACCACCAAATTTTGGTTAGCAGTTCAGTGCTTTTCCTACAGTGCCATACCAGCCTTTGTTGTTGCTGCTGTTGTTAAGTGCCATCAAGTTGGTTCCAACCCATAACAACCCTGAATAGGGTTTCCGAGGAATAGCTGGTGAGCCTGAACCGCTGACCTTGCAGCTCAAAGCGACTTTGCGGTCCAGCGCATTAACCCACAGTGCCACACCAGAACTGCAGATACCACACTTAGGGATATGTTGTTCTTATAGAGTGAACTCTGAGTCAGGTTAAATAAAGACATGCTCTGAGAATGGAGCTTTTCAAGGAACTTCTAGAAGGTCAAATAGTAACAGTTCTCTGGGATAGGACATTAGCCCTGCCTACAGCGATAGTAGGAGTCCTGGTGTGGCACTGTGGGTTAATGTGCCAGACTGCAAAGCCGTTTGAACTGCAAGGTTGGTGGTTCAAGCTCACCAGCTGCTCCTCGGAAACCCCAGGTTGCTATGGGTCAGAATCGACTCGACGGCACTTAACAACAACAACAGCATTAGTAAGTCTAATGGTTTTCATAGCTGCAATCTTTGTGAGTCTATTGGTTTTCGAGGCCACTGTGGAGCTAGAGAAAGATGGATAGCCATGTGGTTGTTCTTAATTACAGCAGAGTTGGTTATAACTCCTGACGACCCCTGGTTGGTTCAGAGTAGAACTGATTCTCGGAGTTTTCTTTCCTGTAATCTTAACAGAAGTGGATCATGAGTCATTTTCTTCTGTGGCACTTTTGGGTGGGTTCCAATTACCAACCTTCATTTAGGTTAGCAGTTGAACTGACCTTGCAGTCCAGTGCATTAACCTGCAGTACCACACAGGACTCCATTTGTACCACTTTTGTTGTTGTTAAGTGCCATTGAGTCAAGTTCTGACCCTTAGTGACCCTATATAGGGTTTCCAAGTAGTAGCTAGTGAACTTGAACCACAGGCCTCTGGTTCAAGTGGACTTAGCAGTCTAGCACATTAAACAACAGCGCCACACCAGTACTCCTTTGCACCACTAAGGACCTTAAAACACCATAAAATTTACTGTTTTTACTTATATTTAGCTGTTTTTCTTGGTCCTTGGAATGTGGTAAGCCTTTGTTAGTTTCCAAAGTTCTGAAAAAGTTGATTCTGACAATTTTTGACAATGTTTTTATTGATTTATGAAGGAGTAGGTTTTTGGAAGTCCAGGAGCTCTGGTAGTGTAGTGGTTATGAATCGGACTGCTAACCTCAGGGTCAGCAGTTCAACAGTTCGAAACTACCAGCTATTCTGCAGGAGAAAGATGAGGCTTTCTGCTCCTGTAAAGATTTACAGCCTCGGAAACCCTGCACAGTGTCGCTATGAGTCGGAACCGACTCCACGGCACATAACAACAACAACCCTGCCACTCTAAGAAACCCTGGTGGCACCATTGGATAGGAACTGGACTGCTAACTGCAAGGTCGGCAGTTCAAATTCATCAGCTGCTCTGTGGGAGAAAAATAGAACTGTTTTCTACTGTAAAGGTTTACAACCTCAGAAACCCTCTACGGAGTCATTGTGAGTCAGAATTGACTCAACAGTAGTAGGTTTGGAGCTAATAACTCCGCCGCTCTTCAAGTGCTTCCCATAACATTGTTTTGAGAGTATTTGTTAAAGGTGAAAAAGTCACAGAAAGGTCATATGAAGAGGCTTAAAAATCTTGTGGACAATTCCCTTATCTTTTAATTCCATTTTCCCACAAACTTTTGAAGCCCCCTTGTATTTCCTAAAACTAGTAACTCAAGGAAATGTTGAGCAAAAGCGATGATTTAAAATAACAGTCAAGATTGAATTCTCCTTAGAATTTTGAATTCTTAGAGGCTTTGCACTAAATAGAAAGGAAAGGTGAGACAAATTCACCTGTCATAGATGTTCTCCTTTCTTACTTCTTGCACTTTGTTGTTTTAGGTGTACAGAGCCAATGGGCCGGATGGAGCTGTTGGCAGAGGTCAGAGAATCCACCTGCAGCTATGGGACACAGCAGGGCAGGAGAGGTATGAGAGTTTCACCTGTGTGCTCTTACTGGAGGAAAGGGGAGAGCCAACCACACTCTTCACACACGGACTTGAGCAGGAAAAGCCAGCCAATATGTTGATTTGAACCTGAATAAAACAGACTAGCAAATTACCAGGAAATCTATCAGTCTGAGAGGATAATGGTAACTTTATTTCATACAGGGTCAGAGGAAAAATGAATCTTTTTCAAAATGGATCTTCCTGCTTGCAGACTTCTTTTTGTCTTTTTGTTTCTTGGGCCCTTTTCTCTATTTCCTCCATTTACTTTGCTATTGACTCAACCACTAAGAAAAAAGTGCAAAGTTACATGTAATCTTTTTTTGCCCAATTGTTGAACCTTAGTGTGTCATTGTAGGATAAGCACTGGACTGCTCACCACAAGGTCAGAGGTTCAAACCCACAAGCTGCTTCCTTGGAACCATAAACAGGGTTGCTATAAGTCAGAATTGACTTTTAACAGAATTGACGACACTTAACAATAACAACAAGAAGTAGGAAATCTAGTTAGAATACATTTATATGATGAGAGGTTGCTTGATTAAAATAAACCCTATGAAATTATGATAGATTGCAATCTTTTGAAATGAAGTGTATGATTTGTCAAATGCAAAATTGATAATCTGCTTTATAAATCTTCACTCAATTCACAATGAATTTTTTTTTTTTAAATTATGATTTAGTTAACTAAAGTATCTGTTTTTCATAGCCTCTTTGAAAAAAAAATCAAAACTTTTTATTATGGAAAACTTTAAACACATTTAATAGTGGTGGGTGGTAGTGGTTATGTGCCTTGGAGTCAGTTCTGACTCATAGCGACCCTGTATAGGGTGTCTGAGGCTGTAAATCTTTACGGGAGCAGAAAGCCTCATTTTTCTCCCACAGAGCAGCTGGTAGTTTCAAACTTATGACTTTGAGGTTAGCAGCCCAATTCGTAACCGCTACACTACAAGAGTCCCTAGGAAAATTGAAGAATTGATACCTTTGAGTTATGGTGTTGGAGGAGAATATTAAAAGTGCCATGGGCTGCCAAAAGAACCAATAGATCTGTTTTGGAAGGAGTGCAGCCAGAGTGCTCCTTAGAGGCCAAGATGGCCAAACTTCGTCTCTCATACTTAGGACATATTGTCAGGAGGGACCAGTCACTGGAGAAGGATTTCAAGTTTGGTAGGGTATAGGGTCAGAGAAAAAGAGGAAGACTCTCAACGAGGTGGATTGGCCAAGTTGCAGCACCGATGGACTCAAGTGTGGCAACAGTAGTGAGGTTGGCCCAGGATCGGGCAGTGTTTCGTTGTGCTGTGCATAAGGTCGCTATGGGTCGGTACCGACTCGATGGCACCTAACACAACAACAACAACACTACAAGAGCTCCTTGTGAACCCATGTACCCTTTATCCAGTTTCACCAATTATCAAACCCTGGTCAATTTTATTTCATGTATGTTGCTGTTAAGTGCCAATCGGTCGGTTCCGACTCATAGTGACTGGGTTCCTGAGGAGCAGTTGGTGGGTTTGAACCACTGATCTTGCAGTTAGTAGTCCAGTGCTTATCTTTCACTTTCCATACCAGGATTCAAGTATACCTCTCACCATAGCTCACCTTTCAGATTATTCCAAAGGACATTCCATAAATCCTATCATTTCATTTATAAATATTTTGCTATGGATCTCTAAAAGATAAGAACTCGTTTTGTCAAAGCTCTTTTTGAAATTATTTGAGAAAAACTTAACATATTTGATTGGATGACAAATTAATACCAATATTTTTCTTCCCTGGTACCTATGCTTGTCAGTTACAGCTTTGTTTATAGGTAAAAAGAAAGGAAACAGACAGACACAGGGAAAATGGGGAGACAGCAAGATAAGGCCCTGGGAAAGAAAATAACAAGAAAGAATAGGAACTGAATCAAAACAAGTCCCACCTCATGATCCATTAGAGGGAAGATATTTTTGTAGAGACTGAAATTAAAAGGTCATGAAACACATTACAATGACAAGTCAGGCTTTCACAGAACAAGGAAAACATTCAGACCAAGCACCAATGCTTTCGGCCTGATTTACTCATAAACGTACATTCTTGGCTGAGACTCAGGGATCATGAACTCGTTCTTGTCATCCCTGTCCAGCAGGCTGACTTTTCAAATCACATGGTGTTGGAACATATGAACGCCTCTTCTGGAAGTGATAAATAACTATACCTATAAACTTTAGGAATATCCTCATTTAATTTCTAATTGATAAGCTTTGTAAACCTTACACGGTAGCCTTGCATTTCAGAAGTGGGACCTGTCTGGTTTTATGTCCCCAGGTTTCGTAGCTTGACGACAGCATTCTTCAGAGATGCTATGGGATTCCTTCTGCTATTTGATCTGACAAATGAGCAAAGTTTCCTCAATGTCAGAAACTGGATAAGTAAGTATTGTGTTTTTCTGCCTCCCCCTCTCCACTCCTCATGATAAACAGCTCTCTTAAATTTTACTTCTACTGTAAATTGTTTTAAGAGGGGCTTGTAGGACAAATGCTATTTAAAAGATCAAGCGTTTTAGTTCAGAGGTAAAGATGAACTGAAATATTCTGCTTTACTTGGTAACATTAACTCTGTGGAATACTTCCAATGTTCCAGGTACATGACACTATTTTACATGTGATCTGTTATCAGTCTTTTTCAAAAAGCGATCTTCTTGACTCCTGTATTATACATGAGGAAATAGATTTAATAAATTAAATCTCTGTATGTCCGCATGCCTATTGGTGGTGGTGGTTATGTGCTATGGAGTTGGTTCCGACTCATAGCGACCCTGTACAGGGTTTCCAAGGCTGTAAATCTTTACAGGAGTAGAAAGTCTCATCTTCCTTCTGCGAAGCAGCTGGTAGTTTTGAACTGCTGACCTTGAGATGAGCAGCCTGATTTGTAACTACTGCACTACTAGAGCTCCTTGGCATGTCAATTATGCACTATCACTTACTGTATACTGTTTGTGAGTCTTAAAACTCTGTTATGTAGTAATAGAGTAAATTATACCTCCATTGCATGTCTCCTCTGCTTAAAGGCCCTCCCTTCGCTTTTAGGACTAGAACATTTGTGAGCAGGACTTTCATGGAAAACACTACAACTGTGTTAGCACGTGTATTTGATATCTAGTGCTATCATGTTGTTGTTGTTGAGAGCCATCGAGTCTATTGTGACTCATAATGACCTTGTTTAGGGTTTCCAAGAAGCATCTGGTAGGTTTGAGTCTCCGACCTTGAGGTTAGCAGTCTAGTGCTTATCCTACAATGCAACACCACTCCATCTACTTCACTTCATTTTGGCTCTTAGGAGAGATCTTCTTCAGTGATTGGTTAATAGTCACTTAAAATCCTGCCACTGTATAGTTTCCTCCACTGGCTTCCTGTGTTTGTGTAACCCCCAGAAATCTGTTAGAGAAGGCTGTGATGCTAAATTCTTACCATCAAATCTTTAAAATTAAAACACATTTTAAAAGACTTCTTAAAAATTGCTTGGTTTGTAAAAGGGTGGCGGTGGTGATATGCCGTGGAGTCGGTTCTGACTTACAGCGACCCTGCATAGGGTTTCCGAGGCTGTAAATCTTTACGGGAGCAGAAAGCCTCATCTTTCTCTCACAAGCAGCTGGTAGTTTCAAACTGCTGACCTTGAGGTTAGCAGCCTGACTAGTAACCACTACACTACCCGAACTCCTTTATAAAAGGGTAACTGCTTGTAATTTTGATAGTAGAAAATCTTACTTTTAAAATGATTTTTTAATGAAGTAAGTCATATAGTTCATTGGCACTGTAGGATCAACACTGGACTGCGAACTACAAGGTTGGCTGTTCAAACCCACCAACTGCTTCTTGGAAGCCCTATACAGGATTGAAATGAGTTGGAACTGACTCGATGGCACTTAACAACCAACAGCAACATAGTTCATTGTGGTTTACAATGCGTTTTCATGTACTTTATATCATTTGATCTTTGTAGCCACCTTGTGAGGAGATAAGAAGACTCAACTGTAAAGAATGATTGATTTAATCTAAGGCCATGGCCATAAATGGAAGTGTCTTTTAACTTTCAGTTCAGTGGCCTATGGTGGCCTGCCTCAATGTTACTTGGTTAGTCAGAGATGAAGGGCTACTTAGTATTTTAAATACATGTACCCCGAGTTTAATTATGCTTACTAGGTCTCGTTTTATCATATGCCTGGGTGAATTGCACATCTGGTTGTTTTTCTTACGGCTTAATGGTTGTGACTGTTTCTAGTCCCCAGTTCTCAGCCCTTGCTCAGCATCCTCTTTGCATCATCATGCAAGTTCTGGAGCATTTGAAAGCCAAGCACTTACTTACAAGGAGCTCACAGAGATGTGCTCACAGAATCTTAACATTGTTACATAACCAAGCCACCTAATAGTCACAGATTAGAAACTGAAACTCACACATATTTGGTACATCTTGCGCTGTGTGAAGAGTTAAGCAAAATTATGTGAAATTAGTTGAATTTTGTTTTCCTTAGAGAGTAATAAAAGAATCCATATTGCATGGTTAAAGGAAGAAAACTTTAAACATATTGTTGAAGATTGCCTATCTTTACTTAAAAGTATCCATTCCACCCCCCACCCCCCCACCCCCGGTGCCATGGTTTAAAAAAAAAAGTTAAAATGATCAGTGTCAAAGCTGGTAAAATTAAATCTTATTTAGGAATAAAGAATTGTTAATTACTCATACATTTTATTTGTTTGTTCCTGTTTCCCAGCTTTGTATTTTAGAGATGTTCTTTTTTGAACAAAATGATAATTTTTTTTTTTTTTTTTTTAAATGCTCTGATTGGCCTGGAAAGAGGAGAGAGGGTCTGTAACTCTCCCTTTGCTTCTCCAGAATTGCCTAACAGGACCCTTTTCTCTGTCTCCACATCTCAACACAGTCTCTTGGGAAGTGGGGTAAGAGCCAGAGATGAGCCCAGTGTCATGTAGGAGGCCAGGGCAAGGAGTGTAACTTCTCCTGGGGTTCAGAAGCATCAGCAACTATGGTCACAGCCCGTCTTCATCCATCGGTGGCATCTTTTTTATGGACTCCTTAATATCTAGAATTTCTAACTTTTTCTTCCATGTCCTCGCATAACTGATCTGAATCTAACAGACTATATGTTTACAGGTTACATGTTTACATCTTACCTGCTTTTGTTGCTACGTTTTTTATTCTTACAATTGTCTTTGTCTGGAAAATCCTCCCACGCTCATTTTTTTTTTTTTTTTTTAATGGCTTAGAATTCTACTTATTCTTTAAAAGCTGGTCAAAAAATATCTTCCATGAAGCTTTGTGATAGCTTCAATTGAATTAAATTTTTTCATTCCTTTTAGGACCCTTATCACACATGGCTGAGACATTATAGTTAGTTACGTATGTGCCTTTTTCTCTTTTGGCCAAAATTCTTAGTGGATTGGTTAATTTGCTTTTAAAAATATAAGTGATTCACATTCTTTATTGAAAAATGGAAATAAAAAGAAAAAAATCAACAATAATTATACGTTTCTGGTACCCACTGCTGCGGCTGTGTGTTATTGAGTCAGTTTTGACTCATGGCGGTCCCTATAGAGGGTTTCTGAGGCTGAAAACTTTTACAACAACAGAAAGCCTCATCTTTCTCCCACAGAGCAGCTGGTGGATTCAAACTGCTGACCTTGCCATCAACAGCCCAACACATAACCTATTATACTACCAAGGCTCCTTTGTTGTTGTTGCTGTTGTTAAGTGCCATCAGCTTGGTATCGACTTATGGTGACTCTGTATAAGGTTTCCAAGGAGCAGCTGGTGGGTTTGAACCTCCAACTTTGCAGTTGACAGTTCAATGCTTACCCTACAGCATCACACCAGACTCCTTTGAGTACCCACAATTAATCATTATTGGAGTCCTGTTGTGGTGCTGTAAGATAAGCAGTCTACCAAAAGGTTGGCTTAAACTGCAAGGTTGGAGCCTCAAACTTACTAGCCGCACCTCAGAAATCCTACACAGGGTCACTTGAGTTGGAACTGACTCTATGGCACTTCACAACAACAACAAGTTAATCATTATTACTGGTCATACTTACACCACATACATGTGGTAGTCGAGTGCCAACAAGTCAGTTTCAACTCATAGTGACCCTACATAAGGTTTCCAAAGTTGTAAATGTTTACAAGAGCAGAAAGCCTCATTTTTCTCCCACAGATTCAAACTACTGACCTTGTCGTTAGCAGTCCAATGCGTACCCTCTACACTATCAGGGATCCTTCAAGTACCCACTATTAATCATTATTACTACATAACACAACACGTGGTGGTGGTAGTGGTTGTTTGCCAATGAGTTGGTTCTGGCTGACAGTGACCCTGTATAGGGTTTTTGAGGAGCAGCTAGTGAGTTTGAACCACCAAACCTGTGATTCAGACCAACCTTACGGTCAAATGCTTGTCTACATAACCACACCAGGACTCTAATAATGGTCTGTGTAGGATTTCCAAGGCTGTCTATCTTTATGGGACCAGAAAGCCAGCTCTTAATCCACTATGCTTAGAGCTCCTTACACAGAACAAACAAATGTTTAGATATATTAATGTGGTGTTGTTGTTAGGGGCCGTTGAGTCAATTCTGACTCATAGTGACCCTGTACAGAGTTTCCGAGGAGCAGCTGGTGAGTTTGAACTGCCAGCCTTGTGGTTCAAACTGACCTTTTGGTCCAGTGCTTACCCTTGAGTGTGCATTAGAATGAGCCGGAGAACTTGTTAAGACATAGATTGCTGGGCTCTGTAGCTGAATTTCTGATTCAGCAGGTCTGGGGTGGGACCTGAGATTTTGAATTTATAACAACTTCCTGGATAATTCTGATGCTGCTGATCAGTGGACCTTACCTAGAAAATTACTGAATTAATTCATTTACCCTATGAAGTAGGTACTGTTGTTATCACCATTTACACATGGGAAGACTGAGGCACAAAGAAATGAAAAAGTTCTCCAGGGCACACAACTAGTAAATGACTGCAAAAATGCCGTGAAGACCATATTTTTCCTTCTCTGACTTCACAAAGGGGAAGGAGAGTCAAACTGCACATCAACCTAAGGCTGATTCCTATGTGGCAGAGGTCAGGTGTGCCTCCACCCTTCAACCTTCTTTACCCAATTGTGCCACCACCCAAGCTTTCCAGGGCACTGCTTCTCTCCAGGGTTTGAGAACCTGCTGCAATGGCCACACTGAACTCACAAACAACACTCACAATTATGGAGTTTATCAGGGAAGTGAACAGGCTACTATTCAGGATCAGAAACAACTCAGGAAACAACACTTTTCCAGTTAGGAACACCTGGCTCTTGCCCGCAGCCTCTCAGCCACATGGCCCTGTGGTGACTACCTGGCTTGGGCAAGTGTTACAAAGCTCCTTAGCGCTGTCTATAAATGCTCAAAGGGCACCCATGTCTATATGCCAGCCTCCTGCCTGAAGATACTCAACTTTACTTGGTTTCTAGACTAGGAAGCCTCCTGCTCTCGCTCCGTCTTTCCATGTCTCTGTTGCCACTGCTTCTCTACGTAGGGATCTCCAGGGCCTAAGGATGTGCTCTGCTCATGGCTCTTCGTTATCATGGTCCTGGGATCACCTGTCTCTCCTTCTGAGATAGCGCCTTTTAATCCTAGCAGGATGACAAAATGAACCAATCTTTGCATTACAGTCCTGTACACCGTGTTTGCATATTTCCACCCAGTCATTTAGTAGGAGTTAGTCCTAGTGTGGCACTGTGCATTAATGCACTGGACTGCAAAGTTTGTTTGAACCGTAAGGTCGATGGTTCAAGCTCACCAGTTGCTCCTCGGAAACCCTATCAGGGTCACTGTGGATTGGAACTGACTCAATGTCACTTAACAACAGTAACATAAAACTATGGTTTTGATTAGCTGGCTGTGTGCCATTGAGTCAGTTCTGACTCATAGTGACTCTGTATAGGGTTTCTGAGACTGTAAATCTTTACAGGAACAGAAACCTCATCTTTCTCCCATGGAGCACATGGTAGACTCAGATTACTGGCCTTGTGGTTAGCAGCCCAGTGCAGAACCTACTAGGCTGCCAGACCTCCTAAAAGATCATGGTTGTTGTTATCGTGGTCTTTGTGCTGAGTCCTATTAAAAGTGATCTTGTTTCCAAGGAATGGCTGGTGGGTTTGAACTGCCAACCTTGTGGTTAGCAGTTGAGTGCTTATCCGATAGTCCAGTGCTTATCCTACACCACACCAAAGACTATGGTGGTGGTGGTGGTGTGTCATGGCAACCTTGTATAGGGTTTCTGGGGCTATAAATCTTTACAGGAGCAGAAGGTTTCATCTTTCTCCTGTGGAGCAGATGGTAGATTCAAACTGCTGACCTTGTGGTTAGCAGCCCAGCTTGTAATCCACTATGGTATTACAGCTCCTTATAGACTATGGTAGAAGAGCCATAATTCATTGTACCACAGTGGCAGAGCTAGTTCTCAACCCCAGCTACACTGCTTCTTCATTCAATTCTCATGATCACAATGAAGGGTATATAACGTTGTTACCAGAGCTTAGAGCTGCTCTAGTTACCCTAAAGATTCCACAGGAAAGGCAACCTTGAAGCAAAGTCCTGAAGGGAGGGTAAGGATTCCCCGAAGGAAGATTGTGGGTGGTGGTTTGGAGGTATTGGAACAGCATGTGTGACACTTCAGAGGAAAGGAAGAGCATGCATTTTCTTGGAAATAGTGCATAGTTTGCTCTTACTGACCCCTAGTCTAAGGAGCCCTGGTGGGGCAGTGGTTAAGCAGTTGGGTGCTAGTTGAAAGGTCAGAGGTTCAAACTGGCTGGTCTGTGAGAGAAAGATGTGGCTGTCTGCTTCTCTGTAAAGATTACAGCTTTGACAACTCCATAGGACAGCTCTGCTCCGTCCCATAGGGTTACTAAGAGTTGGAATCTCTCAACAGCAAATGGTTTATTCTGTCTTGTTATCCTACTTGCCCCTTGAGGACAAGGGAATGTCCTAAAACTCTGAGCAGAGTAGTGGTTGTTATTGAGTTGGTTTCAACTCATAGCAATCCTGTATAGGATTTCTGAGGAGCGGTTGATGAGTTTGAACCTCCAACCTTGTGGCTCTACCTACCTTGCGATGGAATGCTTGTGCTACAGCACCACACTGGGACTCCAAGCAAAGTTGTTGTTGTTGTTAAGTGCTGTTGACTCGGTTCCAACCCCATAGCGACTCTGTATAGCGCTTCTGAGGGGTGACTGATGAACTTGAACCGTCGTCAACTTTGTAGTTCAAACTGACCTTGCAGTCTAGCTCATTAACCCACAGGGCCACACCAGGACTCCTGACATTCTTTTGTTATGATAAAATAAATGTGACTTAATAATGAGGAACTAAAATGTCAGCATTTTTCTGGTTAACCCTGATAAAAAAAAAATTAGGCCATAAACTGGAATGTCTTATTTTGAAAGTTTGGGCTGCTTTAATTTCTCTTATGGTGTGTGATGAGTGAAAACAAGGCTTTAATTTTCCTTCTTGAGAAAATAAAACTATTTAGCATCATGAAGTTCTTTGTTTGGTTTCATTGTGTTTGGAAATTATGAAATAAGCACTCAGTTGCTTATCACAGATTGTCAAATGAAAAGAAATAAGAACTGGAACAAGAATTGTAGTTCCTCTGATTCGTCTTGATTTTGTTGACAGATTATTTGCTATTCTGGGTCTTCTCATATAATCCTGTATCTTGTTTATTTTAAATGAATTTCTGATGCCTTAGGATAATAGCAAACTATGGGATGGAAAACCATTTCAGATAGAAACAGGTGAGTTTAGAAGAAGACAATTGCTTTAAAAATGTCATTGCTGTTATAAGAAATGATAAGAAAAATAAAGCATTAAGGTTAGTAATGAGCATTCAGACATTCTTGAAATTTATTTTTAAAAGATAACCAGGTATCTGTGTGGATGTTATATGTGTGTACTTTGGGAGGGTGTACATTGAATATAATGAATAGACAATACTCTATAATACAAATAAAGTGGAGTATGTGTTTGAGGACAGGAATAATTTTGTCTGTCCCATCCTTAAGGTTTTACAGATTAGGCTTTTGATATCTGAAAACTGTATCAATTCTTGTATCTATAAATTCATTTACAGTTTTCACAGCATTTTTGCATATATTTCCATTGATGATGACACACATTATTATTTACTTAAAATAGTTGTTTTAATCTCAAATTAATAGGTCAGCTACAAATGCATGCATATTGTGAAAACCCAGATATCGTGTTATGTGGAAATAAGAGTGATTTGGAAGACCAGAGGGTAGTAAAAGAAGAGGAAGCCAGAGAACTTGCAGAGAAATATGGGTAAGTATTTTTATGGTGAAATGTAGAGAAAATACTCCCAAATTAAGTATCGATTAGCACATGAAAGGGAAGTACAAAAGTAAAAAACTTAAAACAAAAATTAAGATGTGTTTTTCAGTAATATCAAATACCTATTTGCATAATGGAGTAAGGTCGCTCTTTAGGGTAAGCTCTGGACTGCTCACCACAGTCAGCAGTTCAAGCCCACCAGGCGCTCTGAGTGGGTAAGGTGAGGTTTTCTGTCCACATAAGGATTTACAGCTTCGGAAATCCCACACTGGGTTATTTTGAGTTGGAACTGACTCAATGGCACTTAACAACAAGAAATAATATTTTGCATAATAGTATATGATAATATTTATGCCCTAAAAAGATAGTGAGAGCCATAAAAATGGCATGCGGTGAGGGTCTTCGTTCAATCTTGGAGTCCCATTTTCTCAGTCTCTCAGAACCTGTGGAAAGATAGCTTGATGGGCGCTGGCTGCTATGAGACCTTTTTTCTCCCAGATCCAAACAGGAGGCCCCTTGAATGAAGAAAGCCGCCATGGTCAGTAAGGCAATTTAAGGGCAGTGTGTGCTGTTTTAGAGAACAGGTCTTATTGGGTATCTCAGAGCTGACCCTGAACTTTGTATACTGGGTGAGGAGTTCTGGTGTGGTGCTGTGGGATAAAGCACTGGACTGCAAGGTTGGTTTGGATCACAAGGTTGATGGTTCAGATTCATCAGCTGCTCCTTGGAAACCCTATACAGGGCTGCTATGAGTCGTAACCGACTTGACAGCAGTTAACAACAATGATGTTTTTCTGCTCAGTGGTCGCAGGGATTAGGATCATAGCAGCTGCAGCATGCATTGGACATGGAAGGCGAGGTCAGATGCTGCTTGTTGAAGTGTCCAGGGTACCTCCATGAAGGAATACTCTCTGCCTCTAATAATGAGAATCCAAATAGTATATGTATTAATTACCTTTAATATAAGTGATAGGCATCAAGTGGGGTTGAGTAGGAATGTGGAAGGTGGGAGAAGAGAGAGATGGAGTGGTGTGGGATGTAGGGGTTATGTTCCTTAGTGTCAGGAAGATTCCAAGGAGACCAGCGTAGGCTCTTTCCCGTCTCCTTGTGAAAACACTGCTTTCTTCTTTCTTGCCATCTGAAAGAGATTGAGAAAGTACTCAGGTTAAGGATTCTCTTGGGAAAGGAGCGAAAGGATAGGATGGCCAGGTGGGGAGAAGCCTGTCCCTGGAGGCCTTTGAATACCAGGAAAGGAAGTGAACCGTGACTCGCATGGAGGATGGTGAATTTCTGAAAGTTTTTAAACATGGAGGGGCATTATGAGTACTTTTCCAGAAGACCAGTCTGCAGCTGTGGGCATGGGGAACTGAAGGGTAGAAAGACTAGAGACAGAGATTGCAGTGATCTGTAAACTGAGTTGGGCTGGATTGATGAAAAGGGAGTGTATATCAGAGAAAATGCCTAGAGCCTTGGAAACCCTGTACAGGGTCGCTATGGGTCGGAACCGACTCGAAGGCACTTAACAACAACAAAAAGGATGGGGCAGAATAGGATTTTCAATTGTCCTCAGTTCTAGCTCGCCTGGAGGATTCCTGTCAGATATATTGGCTTACTCTGACAAGGATTTGCAATTGAATGTGGAGGTTTCCAACAGGCTTGGTAGTTTTTAACCCTGGCTGCACATTAGAAACATTTGGGAGCTTTTAAAGGATGCTCATGTCTGGGCCTCACCTCTGCGCTTCTGATATAATTGGTCTGAGGTGTAGCAATCAGGGGTCAATTGTGGGAGCTAGTTAAGCAATAAGGTGTCGTCTTTGTGTCTGAGGCTGATACTTTAAAGTGTCACAAGACAAGGAGTCAAGAAGGGAAGATGGATTTAAAGTGAGAAGAGCAAGGACAAGTTGGGAACCACAGGGAGGGAATGAAAGCCCCAGTCAATTCTTGTTTTCGCACACTGGATGTATGGCTCTCCTGCAGAAGCCAGGCCCCTTCATCACAGAGCTAAACACACGCCTGGCCCAGGAGTTGGAGAAGCAGAAAGAGAATTCAGAGGAAGGTGGAGCAGGTTTAGGTCTGGCCACCAAGATGAGTGAGGAGATAAGCAACAGAGTATGAGAGCTACAAAATGGCTGCCATTTCCTCCCATCCTACAAATTCCCTCATAATCTGTCTCGTGGCCTGCCCTGATCTCAAAGGGAATTCTGGGAAATGTTCAGCCGAGCCAAGTTGATAAGGTTACAAAGTCATCACAAATAAGGGCCTGGGCATTGGTAATTTTAAAAAGCTCTCCATGTGATTTTGATGGGCAGTGGTTGAGAATCACAGACTAACATGATGCTGATATTGAGGTTGAGGAAGCTCATAGGTGATTGTAATAGGCTTCCCTGCCTTCCTTCAGAGACACTGGTATAATGGGAAGCAAAAGGGAGGGATCAAATACCACAGAAACTACTCCAGTGGTAAAAGCTGGCAACTTGTTGCAAGGAGTTAGGAGGAAATAAATGATGAAGCAATGGAAACCATGGACTAGACTGTGTTTTCCCGAGTGTGTCAGTCAATACGGCAGCTAGGGGAGTTGTTGTGGCACTGTAGGATAATGCTCTGGACTGCAAGGTCAGTTTGAGCCACACGGTCGACGGTTCAAACCCACCAACAGCTCCTCAGAAACCCTATACAGGGTCTCTATGAGTCGCAACTGACTGGACAGCACCTAACAACAGGGAGTTAGCAAGATCAAACAAGTGTATTCTCAAGTACTTTGGGAGAGTCATGATTGGCTTCCTCCACTTCAGTTCCATTTCTCAGGCTTCCACAGCCTGACTGGTCTTCTGTCATACTAAGAATCCAAGGAATGCAGACACTGTCTTCATCTGTGCACAGCCCACAGTGTCTGTGGTCTTTCAGAGACAGGGGCTCCATTCCCAAGTTTTGAGTTGAGTTAAAATGACAAGAGAAGGAATTACAATGTCAGAATACATGCAAGTGTTGGAGATGAAAGGAAAGGGGTAAGGCTGGTGGGTAGTTCCAGAGGAAGAGAAACCAATCAAGTCGATTGGTTCACATGCATTTTATAAATCTGAAATAGAACTTTATTGCTTTCACAGACATCTTGTTTCAACATGCTAACCTTAACCACATTGGTTATGCATACAGTAAAAGAACTGTTTTCATCCATTTATGTGCCAACTATCAGAAAATTGGATACAGCTTGACACTTACCTTCATGGTATTTACTTACGTGCTCTCTGCTAAATTTGCCTTGTTGTTAACTACTATGCTGCCGTCTGTCCTCACTTTGTAAAAAATGGATCATTATTTCAAAAGTAGTTTATTGAAATGTGTGCATGAAAACGGTAACTTGAAAGACTTTGACTCAGAAAACCTTTGCAAAGTTAAATAAAGAACGAGCTACTGTGCAAATATGGAACCTGGGTCTGCGTGTGCCGGGACAGCTAAATCTGAGAGTGTAAGCAGCCAAAATTGGAAAAAGTGATTTGGATGCAGGATGATGACTATTAGAAAATTTGTATTTATTAAATAGAGTAAACATCCATTAGCCTCATGAGTTTTTTGTTGTTGTTGGTTTTTTTGTTGTTGTTGCTGTGAAACTTGGTTATATTGTACTATGAAGCTCTTAGGTCACTTCCTAGCAAAACAGAAATATCTAGAACCATTTGACAGACCATCAAATAGACTATGGTCATTTTTGACAACCTATAAATTGGGCTTTACTGTGCTGTTGAATTGGTTCCAATTCATAGTGACCCTGTACAGGGCTTCCAAGGAATGACTTTTGGACTTTAACTGCCAATTTGCAGTTAGCAGTCTAGTGTTTATCCAACAGAGCCACATCAGGACTGAGTTTTAAGATCTCCTAAATTTGTAAAATAAATAATAGAAAACTAACCAACTGGATGTGGAACCTGACATAGAGCATGAAGTAGATATAGTTATCTCGGTGGGAAACAACAACCATACATCTATCGTCAAATTTTTCTAAAGATAATCCCCAAACAGCTGCAACAGTACATTGACAGAGAACTGCCAGAAATTCAAGCTGAATTCAGAAGAGGACATGGGATTAGGGATATCATTGCTGATGTCAGATAGATCTTGGCTGAATATAGAGAATTTCAGAAAGATGTTTACTTGTGCATTATTGACAATGCAAAGGCCTTTTTTCAAAACTGTGTGGATCACGACAAGCTATGGATAACATCGCATAAAATGGGTATTCAATTTTGCTCATGAGAAACCTGTACATCGACAAAAAGGCAGTTGTCAGAACAAAGGGATACTGAATGGTTTAAAATCAGGAAAGGTGTGCACCACAGTTGTATTCTTTCACCATATTTATTAGATCAGTATGCTGAGCACATAATTCAAGAAACTGGATTATATGAAGAAGAATGTGGCGTATTAACAACCTGTGGTATGCAGATGATACAATCTTGCTTGCTGAAAGCCAAGAAGACTTAAAATGCTGATGAAGATCAAAGGATATATATCTCCTTCAGTATGGGTTGCACCTCAATGTAAAGAAAACAAAAATCTTCACCACTGGAGCAACATTAATCTTTTCTCCATATAATGTGATAAATGGAGAAAAGATTAATGTTGCCAAAGATGCCATTTTGCTTTGATTTACAATCAATACTCCTGGAAGCAGCAGTGAAGAGATCAAATGACATATTGCGTTAGGCAAATTTGCTGTACAAGATCTCTTTAAAGTATACAAGGGTAAAGATATCATTTTGAGGACTAAGGTGCACCTGACCCAAGCCATGGTATTTTCAATAGCCTCATATGCATGTGAAAGTTGGGCAGTGAATAAGGAAGACTGAAGAAGATTTGATGCATTTGAGTTATGGCATTGTAGAAGAATATTGAAGGTATCTTCTACCAGAAGAACAAACAGGTCTGTGTTGGAAGAAGTGTTGCTGGAGTGCTCCTTAGAAGTCAGGATGGCCAGGCTTCATCTCTCATACTCTGGACTTCTTATCAGGAGTGACATCATGCTTACTAAAATGGAGGGTCAGTGAAAAAGACTTCATAAGAAGATGAATTAGCACAGTGACAATAACAGTGGACTCAAGAGTAACAATTTTGAGGATGGGGCAGGGCCGGGTAGTAGTTCATTCTGTTGTACATAGGGTCACTTTGAGTTGGAGATGACTCAATGGCATCTAACTATAACAACAACAACAACAGTGTGCTCCAATTGCCAATTAGTGGCCATTCACAGACGGATAATACAATGAATTAGCCTTACAAAGTTTTTGTTAAGCAATACAGTTCCCTGGTACTGCTATACTAGCACCACCATGTGGAGAGAGAGAGAATAACATCATTTTTTTTTCTGTAGTTAAACATAGGACACTTGATTCTTTTGAATTCTAAGTTAAGAGAATTACATTTTTGCTTAGAAAACCTTAGGAAAAGCAGAATTTTTTTAGGGAAGAAAAAAATCCCATTAATGTAGCATTTATCAAACCCTTGTTGGATGCTAGGCTTCTGCTAAGTAATTATATATATATTGTTGTTATGTACCTTGGAGTCGGTTCCAATTCATAGCGACCCTGTACTGGTTTCCGAGGCTGTAAATCTTTACGGAGCTCTGGTAGCGTAGTGGTTATGAATCGGGCTGCAAACCTCAAGGTAAGCCGTTGGAAACTACCAGCTGCTCCGCGGGAGAAAGACGAGGCTTTCTGCTCCCGTAAAGATTTACAGCCTCGGAAACCCTGTTCAGGGTCGCTATGGGTCGGAACCGACTCGACAGCACTTAACAACAACAACAACAAATCTTTACGGGAGCAGAAAGCCTCATCTTTCTCCCACGGAACTCTCTCTCTCTCTCTCTGTGTATATATATATATATATATCTCGATGGCACTTCACAACAACTATATATGTGTGTGTGTGTGTGTATACACACCAGGACTCTATGAATCACTACTACTCCTCTTTACAGACATGGAGGCAGATGTCCCAGAGCTGAAAGTGGTTAGATGGATAACTTTTGACTCTAGAACCAAAAATTGTAATGACTATATGTTTTTCCTTTATTTTTCTCAGCTCTATCTCCAGCCCAAATGTTGAGATATTTTTATATTGCTTTAAAAATATGTATATTAAAAAAATGTATAAAGTGTTTAATAAAATTATTCAGATAAAGTAGCAAATTCCTTCTAAAAGCAAATACCAGGAACAGATGCAAATAAATACATGTTTAATACTACCCACTAGATTTCCTATGCCCTGGGACAGTTCAAATTTCAAACGTAAGTACAAGGCGTGTTTTTGTCTCTCGGGCATCATTTCCTTAAGGAAGGAAAGTCTGAATTCAAGGTTTTCCTTGTGTGTGGATTTCATCTCATTCAAGTTTTCTTTGTCAGCTTAAAGAGTAAGCACCATTGTAGTATTCATTTATTCCTGTAGGAACAAAAACTATTGCCATGATTGCTCACAAGACTGAATGATTTGTCCAAAGATTTTTTTAAAACTGCTTATCTTGAATTGGGTTAAGGTTTACAGAGTACTCAGTTTTCCATTCAATAATTCATACATGTTTGATTTCATGTCATTGATTGCAACCTCCACGTTTTAACATCACTGATCCCACTTCTTTCCTGTGTTTCCTGTTCCCATGCCTCCTTTCCTAACCTTTTGTCCTTGGGTAAATGCTACCCTTTTGATCTCAAATGGTTGATTATTCTAAAGTTTGCATGCTTCCCTAGTATTACTATTCCCCTTGTTGTTGTTGTTGTTGTTGCTGTTGTTGCTAAGTGCCATCGAATCAGTTCCAACCCCTAAGGACCCCATATAGGGTTTCTGAGGAGCAGCTGGTGAGCTTGAACTCCCAACCTTGCAGTTCAAACTGATTTTGCAGTCCAGTGCATTAACCCACAGCGCCACACCCGGACTCCGTTTATTCCCCTTGTAAATCTGTATATCCTTTGGCTGCAAACTGAGCCATGGGGGTGAGTCTGTTCGAGTCTGTTCCAGATCTAAAGTGGTCCTAAGGGCCACTCTCAGGGGTTCCAGCAGTCTCGAATCTGACAAGTCAGCCTGGTCTATTTTATGACAGTTTTGTTTCACATTTTCCTCCCATTCTGCCTAGGACCTTCTAATGGGACCTTTCAGAGCAGCTGTTAGTTAGTGGTTGTTGTTGTTGTTGTTGTTAAGTGCCTTCGAGTCGGAGCCGACCTAGTGGTAGCTCTCAGTATTTCCCTCTCAGGATGAAGTGACTTAATATTGAAAACACTTAGGTCACAACCTGAAACATTTCATGAAAACTTCTTATTTCCAGCACAGAGATGGTCTAGGTTACAAAAGTTTGTAATTTTGTTGTTTAACTCTCAAAATAACATCATCCCATAGAAAAATGCCACCGAATCATGTAAAGTCAGGGATCCAACAGACCTTAGTAAATGTTGTTGTTGTTATGTGCCATGGAGTCAATTCCGACTCATAGTGACCCTGTACAGGGTTTCCGAGGCTGTAAATGTTTACGGGAGCAGAAAGAAAGCCTCATCTTTCTCCCGTGGAACAGCTGGTAGTTTCGAACTGCTGACCCTGAGGTTAGCAGCCCAATTCATAACCACTACACTACCAGAGCTCCTTAACAGTGTTTGTTAGGTGCGGTAAATAGAACTGCCCCATAGGGTTTCCTAGGCTGTAATCTGGTAGCGTAGTGGTTACGAATCGGGCTGTGAACCTTAAAGTCAGCAATTCAAAACTACCAGCCACTTCGCGGGAGAAAGATGAGGCTTTCTGCTCCCGTAAAGATTTACAGCCTCGGAAACCCTGAGTCGCTATGGGTCGGAACCAACTCAACTGCACTTAACAACAACATATACCTATCTAAAGGAGGTCTGGTGTGGCGCCGTGGGCTAATGCGTCAGACTGCAAAGCTGTTTGAACTACAAGGTTGGCGGTTCAAGCTCACCAGCTGCTTCTTGGAAACCCTATACAGGGTTGCTATGGGTCAGAATCGACTCAGCGGCACTTAACAACAACAATATCCCTATCTATTGATAGGCTGAAAACTGAGCCATAGAGATGAGTCCAGTTCCATACCTGAAGGGTGACCAAGAGCTGTAGTCTCGTGATTCCACCAGTCTCTCTATCTGACCAGTAAACCTGGTCCTTTATTTCTACAGCGACCAAAGTCTAGTTCATCTATGATGTAGGTGCCAAGGTTACACAGTTGGTTAGAAGTAGAAGAAAAAGGGCATTGATCTTTTTTTGTGTGTGTGTGCAAAGTCTAACATAACATTTCCAGAAGTTTTCCATTCTCTGTTAGGAATGCAGAGTGAATTACTTTCTTTCTCACTCTTTAATGCACCCTGGTGTGGTGGTTAAAAAAAAAAAAAAGTTAAATTAAAATCATCTAGTCTGTTTGTACTCTCTTTGTTTTTTAAGTTGAACTCTCATGGATAAAAGTGTCCCTTCCTTCAATTGTTGTTACCTGAGTGGTCTCTGTCTTCCAGAATCCCTTACTTTGAAACTAGTGCGGCCAATGGGACAAACATCAGTCAGGCAATCGAGATGCTTCTGGACCTGATAATGAAGCGAATGGAACGGTGTGTGGACAAGTCCTGGATCCCTGAAGGAGTGGTGCGCTCTAATGGCTACGCGTCCACAGATCAGCTGAGTGAAGAAAAGGAGAAGGGGGCATGTGGCTGTTGAGAAGCCTGGCGAGCTATACAGTAATTCAATCAGGCTGTACCTCTGCTCTCCTCTGTGGTTGATACCTGGCACAGGGAAAGGTTCATGGCATTGGGGACAGATTGCTTCTCACCATCCCAATTAGACCTATCAATCAAGCATCCAATTTCTAAATTGATTTGCTGGAACTTTGTAAATATTTCTTAAAGATTCAGTCTGAAAGTTAGGAGAAATATCTCACAGAGCCAGAAGTGCCTTAATAAAACTGTAGCCTTGGCAGTTTGTCATTTAAGGATTTTGCAGCCACAGAAGAGTACATTTATGACGTAGAATGACTGAAAATATAGTCACCTGCCTTACTGTAGCTAGACTCATAGTCTTACTTTCAAAATTTTAGATACAGTTTTAAAGCTACCACAGACTTCAATCCAAATAATAATAAAAACAACAACAACAACAAACCCCCCAAAACAACCCTATGTGTAGCATAGGTGAATTCCTAATAGGCTATCTATTTAATTTGAATTAACTTGTTTAATACAAGAATATACACACATCAGTTCAGTGCCTTTGAGTAGTTCATGCAAGCATTTACTTTAGAAGGAATATGGGACAAGTTACGGCAGAATCTGTAGACCCTGGATACACTGGATTGGATGATTGCACAGTGATTGTAACTCTTATCTGTGGAAGAAGGATAAGGGAGCCATGGGCAGGAGTGGCTTAATGCAGTAAGAGCAGTTGAAGTGTGAGGTCTCTGGTTCCCAACTATATTCCCATTGCTCTGAAGGGTTGAATGAAGTGTCAAGGGACTAGATTTTACGGCTTCAGTTCACTGTGATCTGTGTGTTTATATTTGGTCTACGTGCCTGCCACATATGAATGTAGCTGATGCTTGTGCTAAAGTTATTTGTGATAAACATTTAGCTTTTTCTTCATATTTATCATATTGATCTGGTGTCCTCAGACTGCAGTTTCAATGAGCTTGCAAACTACCAATCTTCTGTCTTCACCATTGTTTTTTAATTACTTTAAATGTGTATTTCCTATTTGGTGGAAGATGGATCTTTGTATTTGAACAGTCACATTTGTACTGTAGTTCAATATAAGACAAATAGTTTTATAGCCTGTAGTAATTTTCACTGAGATCATGGGCATTTTCTATAAGTGCTGGGTCTTGCCAAAGTCATGTCATTCTGCTGTATTGCCAAAGTGTCTTCATACCAAATTGAAAGTGGTTTTAGAACATGCTTTATGGCAATTGTTTATAAAGTTCAAAGGTTATTTCATTCAGGGGAAAATTCTTATTTATTCAAGTGATTTAAATAAAGTAGGTTAATATTTCCACAGAGCTTAATGGCTTTTTTTGAAAAATGAACCCAACCAACCAAACAAAAAACCCCACCACTTATTATCATTTAAATGGAGAATCAAAATAAGCATATTTTATGGTGGTAACTGTTTGGTAGAATTAAAAAATAGAAGTATAATAGAAAATACTGATTTTTATAGGATAACTTTGAAATGGCTTTTTTATTGAGCACCTATCTTGCTTTTTTCCATTGTCCCTCCTCCCACCCTCTTAACAAACTTAACTACAGTTGCCAAGATTTTTCGTATTTCCATCTTTGAAATGGGGGGTGGTAGAGTGTATTTTCTATACTAAAGTACTGATTGAGTCCTATACTTTTGAATTGTATATTCTAATGAGGAAGGAATTCAGATTCAAGATCAGGGTCATAACCACACAGCACTTCCTTCTAAGACTGCCATAAAATTTCAAAGAAGTGAATCATAATTTTTACAGTTATATATCAGAGTATATTTTATATGGCATTTAAAAACAAGACAGTACTTACTTGTTTCTGTTTTCAAGAACCAGATGAATATATTGGCCTTAAGCAAATATAGTTAAATGTGTATGTGGGGGCTTCAAAAAGTTTGTAGGACAATTCCATTGTATTTTAATTACATATGTCCATGAACTCTTTGAAGATGGAGTATATATCCCCTCTTATAGGATATATACTCTTCACACAAGAACCACCTTTAATTATTGAAATAAAGAACATGTACTCTTTGGAAGTCATTTACTTAAATTTGCTACTGACGTACCATATATTTTGTGTATCAATGTATTTTTCTATTTACAAGCCTGTGTAAAAGTGAGGTGTATCTTAAGTGAACCTTGTGTCAATTAAGCTTATAATAAAAAAGCTGTTTATTCAAGTTTGTGTATGAATGTGACTTCAGTTCCCATCACAATAAAGTTTGAAATAGGGGGTCCTAATGACCTTTGGGGAAGAAAGTTTTAATTCTACTGAAGGAAAGCAAATTCAGGGACACAAATTCCATTATTAACTGAGTGGGCATACGAGACAACATATTCTGGAGAAAGTAAATATGAGAATGTTATCAAACATTTACTGAGCACCTACAGTGTTTGAAGTGTTGCATGGGGCAATCTGAGATGAACAAAACAAGGAAGGTAAGGGATTGAACTAACGTGGAATGGGCCTGGAAGAGATGGCTGCAAGAGACCCTGGGAAGAGTGCTACCACTGACTGGGTGAGGATGGGGGAGATGGCTTTTCTGACCTTGTTCGCCTCACTCGCTTCTCCAGAGGCACTCTGGCCTCCTTGGAACTGCCAAGTGTGTTTTTACTTCAGGGCTTTGGCATTTGCTGTTTCCTCCCCCTGAAATGTTATTCTTCCATATATCTGCATGGTCTCTCCCCCATTTTCTTGAAGACTTCAAATGTCACCTCATCCCAAAGGACTTGACTGACTGTATAAAAAGAATTCCTTGAGTGATGCAAGTGGTTAACATGGTAAGCTGCTAGCCCAAATGTTGGAAGTTCAAGTCCACCCTGAGGCATCTCAGAAGAAAGACCTGGTGAACTGAACTACTTCTGAGAAATCAGCCATTTAAAGCCCTATAGTACACAGTTATACTCTGACACAGTTGCAATTGACTCCACAGCAGCATTTAAGCTTGAACCATCAGCCTTTAGTAGTTTAGCACAAATGATTTGATGTACTCAGACCTTCCAGGATTGTTGTTGTTGTTGTGCAGTGCCGTCGAGTCGGTTCTGACCCATAGCAACCCTGTATTTCCAAGGAGCAGCTGGTTAGCTTGAACCACTGAACTGTGGTTCAAATGACTTTGCAGTCTAGTGCATTAGCCCACAACACCACACCAGGATTGTTGTTGTTTGTTGTTAGGTGCCATTGAGTTGGTACCGACTCATAGCGATACTATGCACAATGGAACAAATCACTGCCCAGTCCTGGGGCAACCTCACAATTGTTGCCATGCTTGAGCCCATTTATGACACCACTTTGCCAACTCATCTCGCTGGGGGTCTTCCTCTTTTTCTCTGACCCTCCACTTTACCAAATATGATATCCCTCTCCAGTGATGGATCCCTCCTGATAATATGTCTGAAGTATGAGAGACGAAGTTTGTCCATCCTGGCCTCCAAGGAGCACTCTAGCTGCACTTCTTACAACACAGATCTGTTGTTCTTTCCTCCAACACCACAATTCAAAAGCAACAATTCTTCTACCATCTTCCTCATTCACTGACCAGCTTTTGCAGGCATATGAGGTTATTGAAAATACCATGGCTTGGGTCAGGTGCACCTTAGTCCTCAAGCTGACATCTCTGTTCTTCAACATTTTAAAAAGGTCTTGTGCAGCAGATTTGCCTAATGCAATACGTCGTTTGATTTCTTGACTGCTGCTTCCATGAGTGTTGATAGTTGATCCAAGAAGAATGAAGTCCTTGACAACTTCAATCTTTGCTCCATTGATAAGAATGTTGTTTATTGGTCCAGTGGTGAGGATTTTTGTTTTCTTTACATTGAGGTGCAACCCATAACGAAGGCTGTGGTCTTTGATCTTCATCAGTAAGTATTTTAAGTTCTCTTCACTTTCAGCAAGCAAGATTGTATCATCTGCATATCTCAGGTTGTTAATGAGTCTTCCTCCAATCCTGTTGCCAAGTTCTTCTTCATATAACCCAGCATCTTGGATTATGTGCTCAGCAAACAGGTTGAATAAGTATGGTGAAAGGATATAACCCTGTTGTACACCTTTTCTAATTTTAAACCATTCAGTGTTCCCATGTTCTGTTCAAACAACTGCCTCTTGGTCCATGTACAGATTTATGTGTTCCATTTCATTTTTTACAACTTCCAATTTTCCTAGATTCATACTTCATACATTCCATGTCCCCATTATTTAAGGATGCTTGCAGCTGTTTCTCCTCATCAGCAAATGAAGGTCACCAAAGTTTTTAAACCATTTGTGTCATTACCATCAACCCTACTTCGAGGAGGCAGCTCTTCTTCAGTCTTATTTTGAGTACCTTCCAACTTGAGGAGCTCATATTCCAGTACTATAGCTGTTATTCATGTTGCAATATTCAATATTCTGGTGCTATCTGATAGTGTTTCACTTCTATTCTTAAGGTTTTAATGGCTTAACATTTGGAAGTAGTTTCTTTGTCTCCTTCAGAGGCTTAATCTGGAAGCTCAGCTGAAACCTGTCTACCAGGGATGACCCAGTTGGCGTTCAAAATACCATTGGCATAGCTTCCAGCATCAAAGAAACACACAAGCTACCAGTGTGACAAACTGAATGATGAGTGGTGGAAGCAATTCCTGTTGTTGCTAGGTGCTGTTGAGTTAGTACTGACTCACAGAGACCTTATGCACAATAGAACGAAACACTGTCCGGTCCTGTGCCAAGCGCACAATCATTGCTACACATGAGCATGTTGCTGCTGCCACTTGGCCAATCCATCACACTGGGGTCTTCCTGTTTTTGGCTTACCCTCCGCTTTATCAAGCATGATGTCTTTTTCCAGGGACTGGTCCCTCCTGAAGTCTGAGAGACAAAGTCTGGCCATCTTGGCTTCCAAGGACTCTTGTGACTGTATTTCTTCCAACACAGATTTGTTTGTTCTTTTGGAGGTCCATGGTATTCTTAATATTCTCCTCCAATACCATAACTCAAATGCACCAATTCTTCTATGGTCGTCTTCTTTCACTGTTCAAGTTTCACATGCATATTAGGTTATTGAAAAATACCATGGCTTGGGTTAGGCACACCTTAGTCCTCAAACTGGCATCTTTACTCTTAAACACTTTAAATAGGTCTTATGCAGAAGATTTGCCTAATGCAATACATTGCTTGATTTCTTGACTGCTGTTTCCATGAGTGTTGATGGTTAATTCAAGAAAAATGAAGTCTTAAACAACTTCGATTTTCTCCATTTACTTTGATGAGCTTTATTGGTCCAATTGGGAAGATTTTATATAGGGTTTCCAAGGCTGTATATCTTAGAGGAAGCAGAAAGCCTCATTTTCCTCCGATGTTGTAGTTAGTGGGCTCGAACCACTGACTTCATAGTACCCAGTCCAGTGCTCATCTTATAGCACCATCACGCTCCCTGCTGACATATAGGAGCATACAATCAAAAATAATAAAGCACAGGTAAATATCTTTCTGGTATACTCTGCTTTCAGCCACAATCCAGTGGACATCAGCAATGATATCCCTTGTGCCACATCCTCTTCTGAATCCAGCTTGAGCCTTTGGAAGTTCCCTGTCAATGTATGCTCGCAGCCATTTCTATATTACCTTTAGTAAAACTTTACTCGCATGGGATATCAAAGATACTGTCCGATGATTTGAGCATTCCACTGGGTCACCTCTCTTTGGAATGGTCATAAATACGGCTCTCTTCCAATCAGTTGGCCAGATTATTGTCTTCCAAATTTCTTGGCATAGATCAGTGAGTGCCTCCAGTGCCGCCTCACTTACTTGAAAAATTTCAATTTTATTCCATCAATTCCTGGTGCCTGGTTCTTTGCCATTCCTTCAATGCACCTTGGACTTCTTCCTTCAGTATCATTGGCTCTTGATCATATGCTACCTCTTGAAATGGCTGAACATCAACAATTTCCTTTTGGTACAGTGACTCTGTATATTTCTTCTATCTTCTTTTGATGCTTTCTGCATCATTCAATAATTAGTCCAGACAATCCTTCAATAACGAAAGCGGAGGCTTGAATTTTTTCTTCAGTTCCCCCAGCTTGAGAAATGCTGAGTGTGTTCTTCCCTTTTGGTTTTCTGACTCCAGATCTTTGCACATTTTATTGTAATGTTTGACTTCATCTTGTTGAGTTGACCTTTGAAATAGTGCTAATGAGGAATCTCCATGGACCAAGAGGCAGTTGTTCGAACAGAACATGGGAACACTGAATGGTTTAAAATCAAGAAAAGTGTGCAACAGGGTTGTGTTATTCTTCCACCAT